TAATAGGGAGTGCTGGAAAAGGCTTGTTTCCAGCGGGTAATAGGGAGTGCTGGAAAAGGCTTGTTTCCAATGGGTAAAGCTAGGTATTTGGAAAATGACTATTTCTTATGGATAAAAGGAAATGCTTGGAAAATATCTCATTTGCTTACCCACATTGGAGAATTCTAAGTAATGGGCTTGGACTTTGGTGCTCCCAAGTAGCTAGCCCAAAGTCTCTATTATCCAAGGGCTTCCGTGGGCCTTGTGGACCTCTGTAACCTTCCACACCACAATCCCTCATGCAAGCCCCGTAAACCACATGACTTGGGTTCATGTGAGCTTGATAAGTGATTGATATATGAAAAATGTATTATTGGCTTCGCATGGCATGGACACTATTATTTATTTAATGAATTAATTCCCAAAATACAGCTTGGATTAATGCATGACCAACATTATATTTTATATTGGGCCTTAAATGTCTTTGGGCTTCTCGTGACTTTTTTGGGCCTCAACAATAGTAAAGATTCATGGCAAATGAGGCCTGGTTTATTATTTGGAGAGTAACATGAACCATGTTCTTGTATCTTACTGCAATCTTTTAATATTCTACAAATGAAGTTAAAAAGTCCTGCAGTACAGAGTCTGGGGTTCCTGGCCTAGGCACACACCAAGTGCCCTCTCACTTCACTTCACCAAAAAAGAAGGCAATCTCTCTGAGACCACTTGGAGTTGGAGAGCTACAAATTACAAAGACTGTGATTCATCCACATGAAATTAATAGTTGGAGAGCTAATCGTGCATCTTTGTTTGATGTTCGAATCTCTGGCTTCTAGAAGATACTCGAAATTGTTTATGAAGCTTAGCATCACCGGAATTTATACGTTATTATACAAATTATAGTTTAATTAAGAAAAACATGTGTCTTTTTTCTTATTCGTAGGAATTTTATCTACTATGTTAGATATATTTAAGGAATATGTTTGTGATTCGTGAACTGGATTCAATACTAGGAGAATATAGGTCTAACATTGACTTGACAAACCAGGGAAATAACAAAAACCAACAGGCTATAATGGAACGTGGAAGCCGCTGTAACAGTAGTTTATTATTTGACAGTGACTTTAAAAAACCTAAAAAAATCCGCCGGCTCTGACCATGGACCAAGGTTCCCCTGGTAATTCCATTCCAAATTACAGAGCCTCCAAGAGGACTCGCGAATCGGAAACTACTGATTCTGAGACTACTGATCCGATGATGCAAGATCCTGTGCTGGGACAGTCTACACCGTCGGCTCCCGCTGTCAGCTTTCGAGATAAACTAATGAGCACCATGAATCTAACTAAGAATATTGCGATTGAAATTGATTCCTTGGAAGAAGACTTTGTAGATCTGAACGATGAGGAAGATGTGGTGACTTCTAGGGGAGATCGGGGACCAAGTATCCAGTTTTCCGAACGGGCAATGAGTCGTCTCTGCCAGCCGTGGAAAAATGCACTGATTATTAAACTGCTCGGACGCTCACACACCTATATCTTTCTCCACACAGCTGCAGCAAAAATGGAATCTAAAAGGAGACTGGAAACTAATTGATCTGATTAATGACTATTTTGTAGTCAAGTTTGAACTAGAGGAAGACTTGAATTTTGTGCTAATAGGAGGACCTTGGGTTATTGCTGGGCAGTACCTGATTATGCAAAAATGGAGGCCTGGGTTTTGTCCTGCTTCTGCTCGGGTTACGAGAATGGCTGTCTGGATTAGGGTTGCTGCCATCCAACTAGAGCGCTTTGATGTTTGGGCCTTGAAACGAATTGGGAATCTTTTAGGGAAGCTTTTGAAGATTGATACGCTCACTACCACTAAAAACAGAGGGAAGTTTGCATGGCTCTACGTGGAGTTGGATCTAACTAAGCCTCTGGAGGCTTTTGTGCAAATTAATCAGACTAGGTACAACATTGAATATGAGGGGTTACCCGATATATGCTACGGATGTGGACTCTATGGGCACAAGAGAGAGAGAGTTGCAATCTAATGGAGAAAGTCCATGCGGAACAACCTGGGTGCTCTACTGACGCGAACACAAAGGGAAATGATGCAACCCCGACAACTGAACATACTGCTACCCCTCTAGAGACTTTGCGAGGGCCTTGGATGAACGTGCCACCTAGGAGGAAACCTAAGGCAAACCTGAAAGAGGGTTATGGGTCAGGGTCTAGTTTGAAGACCCATGGATCTAGATATGATGCCCTCGAACAAATAGATGAATGTACTGAGAAAGACCATACTGCTCCTAGCACAAGTGCAGGTTTGAACAAGGGGGAAAAGTGTTTGACCCTTTGTTTACTAAGGTCTGGACAAAAACTAAGAAGCAACCGATTGAAACTCGAACAGGGTTAAAAGGCTTACCTGTTAAACTTTCAACAGGAAGTGTGAAGGCAAGTGGCTCTTCTGCAAAACCAGGGAGGATTGGGAGCTTTAGTCCTGAAATGTTTAATGCTAAGGGGAAAGAAATCTTGGGTGGAAAATTGATGGAAAACCCCCAGACCATTGATGCTCACTTGTCCAATTGGGGGAAGGGACATGATGTGACTAATGGTAAGGGTATATACATATTTGGGCATCAACCCCCAAATATTGTTGGGGATGACTCAAGAGAGGAAGAGAGGATTGACCCTGTGTCCCACCCTCTCCCTAATGGTGACAGCTCAGGTGATAAGATGGACCTATTGGTTGGTCAGATAAACTATGCTCCAAAAGATACCTCTGCTAGTGGAGGTGTATCCATGGACCATTGATGAAGGGCTCCAGACCTTTGGTATGTACTCTTTCCTTAACCACCGTTTTTAATGATTATCATGTGCTGGAATGCTAGAGGTGCAGTTTGCACCAAATTTAAAAACACTGTCATGAACTTAATTCACAACCATCACGTGGATTTGCTCTTCATTTGTGAACCCCGTATAAGTGGCACTAAGGCTGCATCTGTAGTGAAGTCCTTAGGTTTCTCCTGCTCTGAAGTTGTTGATGCTGTTGGCTTCTCTGGAGGTTTATGGTTATTGTGGAATGAAAATAAATTCAAAGTTGACATTATTGGGACCCATGAGCAGGCTATTTCGGCTTGTATCACCTGGCCTGGGCAGACTCCTTGGGTTTTCACAGCAGTGTATGCCAAGCCCTGCAGTATAAAAAGGGCAACTCTATGGGAGTATTTATCCTTTGTTGCTGATTGCCACAACATGCCTTGGTTGTTGGCAGGAGACTTTAACGAGATGCTTCAGCTTGAGGTCAAACTTGGTGGGGGCCCCCTGCGCAGAATAAAAGGGTTTAAAAGTTGGTTTGATGCAAATGATTTGATTGATTTAGGCTTCACGGGCCAAAAATTTACTTGGAGCAATAACAGAGTGTTTGAGAGACTGGACAGGGCTATCTGTAATATGAGCTGGATGGGTGCTTTTCTTGAGGCTAATGTTATCCATCTTCCTAGGACTAAGTCAGACCATTGTCCCATCAAAATCAACCTTCAATCTTGCTTTTTGCCCTCCCCTAGGCTTAGGCCCTTTCGGTTTTAGGCCATGTGGATCAAGCACATTGAGTTTACTAAGGCCATCTCCAGCTATGGGTTATATCCCAAATATAGCCCTAAAATAATGCAAAATCCATCTCCAGCCGTGGGCTAAATAAAATTTTGGCCAAATTTGAAGGGCCACATTTGGCCCTTTGGCCCTCCAACCAGGCCACATATAGCCCACCTTTAGTCTAGGCCAAATTTTTGTGGGCCCATGCATTTGCTTTTTAAAAGCCAATAGTAAAGTGAGTTGATGTTATGGGTGAATATATATAATAAAATATGAAGAATCCTAAAACATAGCCTTGCATGGCTGGAGATGGAAAAATTTAGCCATGCACTATTCTTTAAAAAATTAATATTTTGGAGGGCTAAATTTTTAGCCTTGGACTACATTTAGCCCTATGACTGGAGATGGCCTAAGCTCATAGATCAATTATGGAAGCAGGAGCCTGGTCCAGCTCTAGCAAAGACTTATGCACTAGTTCAACCTCTTCAACAATGGAATTTGACTGTTTTCGGCCACTTGCGACTGAGAAAAGCCAGGATCTTAGGTAGACTTGCTGGGATTCAAAAGGCCCTTTGCAATGGGGTTAATAATTCCCTCAGGAATCTCGAGATTTCCCTTACTAAGGATTTTAATGATACCTTGGAACAGGAAGCCACTTTTTGGCAACAAAAATCCAGAATTCATTGGCTACAGGAGGGGGACAGGAATACTAAATTATTTCATCTTACTACTCTTATTAGAAGAAGACGAAATAAATTGGAAAGGTTGAAAAATGAACGTGGTGATTGGGTGGATGACGCCAATGCTATCAAATCTATTGATGTGGACCATTCCCATCTTTTTCCCTCCTATTGAGGATACTGCATTATGTGCTTTACAAAAGAATATTGACCTTCTCGAGGTGAAGGAGAGTTTATTTAATATTGGGGGTCTTAAAGCTCCTGGTGTGGATGGATTCCCTGCGTGTTTTTTCCAAAGCTAGTGGAATACTTGCTCACAAGACATCTTTGATATGGTTTCTCAAGCTTTCAGGGATTCTCAGATCCCTGAAGGACTAAACTCTACCCTCATCACCCTTGTCCCCAAAGTGGATAACCCTCAAACAATGTTGCAATTTAGACCTATTAGTCTATGCTGCACTCTTTACAAAGTTATCTCCAAGATTCTGGTCTCTAGACTCCGCCCCATCTTGCCTGAGCTAATTAGTCCAAACCAGGTCAGCTTTGTGCCTGGTAGACATATTACTGACAACATCCTTATAGCCCAAGAGTTGATGCATAAATTCAAAAGCTCCAAGGGGAAGAAAGGCTTTATTGCTTGGAAGATTGACCTATCTAAAGCCTATGGTAGATTGAATTGGCAGTTTCTTGAAACTGTGCTGATGGAACTGAAGCTACCACACTCTATTATTAAATTAATCATGCACTTTGTTTCCTCCGTTAAGTACCAAATCTGCTTCAATGGTGAGTTATCTGACTCATTTTCCCCCAGCAATGGCATTAGGCAAGGAGACCCTCTGTCTCCTTATCTCTTTGTTCTATGTATTGAAAAATTATCCCATATAATCCTTGAGGCTATTAACAAGAAAAGCTGGAGACCTATTAAATGTTCTAATTCTGGACCTACTGTCTCCCACCTTTTCTTTGCGGATGACTTGGTTCTCTTTGCTAAAGCCAACCCTCACCAAGCCAAAGTGATGAAAAAGTGTATTGAGTTATTCTATGATGCTTCGGGCCAAACTGTTAATTTTGATAAGTCTGCAATCTTCTGCTCTCCTAACACCTGCAAGGAGGTTGCCCAGGAGATAAGTTATATTTGTGGCTCTCCCCTCACTGATAATCTAGGGAGGTACCTGGGTATGCCCCTTTTACATTCCAGAATTAAAAAATCTACTTATGCCAGTTTGATTAGCAAGGTGCATGCTAGACTAGCCGGCTGGAAAGGCAAACTTCTGTCCCTGGCAGGGAGAGCTACTTTAATTCAGGCTGTCACCTCTGCTCTCCCTGTGTATACTATGCAAACTGTGAAGCTCCCTATTAGCATTTGTGAGGAGCTTGATCGTCTAAACCGTAATTTCTTTTGGGGGGGGGGGGACCTGTGTCAATGGAACCTCGCTTGCAGCCTAAGAGCAAAGGAGGCTTGGGTTTCAAAAGAACCCATGATATGAACCAAGCCCTTCTCGCTAAAATTGGCTGGAGACTGCATTGTAAAGATGAGGGTCTCTGGACCAAGATCTTCGAGAATAAGTACCTCAAAGGCCAATCCATTCTTGAGCCTTCTTTGAAGATGCGACAGGATTGTTCTTCGACCTGGAGAAGTGTTCTGTTTGGGGCTGATTTGTTGGGGAAAGGTATGACGTGGAGACTTGGAAGAGGAGAAACTGTGAAAGATAATTGGGTTTCAGAGGCACCCTTAATGCACCACGAGATGGTCCTACCGCCCACTGATGTTGACTCTACTGTATCAAGCTTCTTCAAAGATGGTTGGTGGGATGTGGACAAACTTCGCAATGCTCTACCCGAGGCTATAGTCCATAAAATTATCAGTCTCTCTGTGAGCTTTAGTGGGACCCTTCAGGACCGCCAGATCTGGAGATGCACTTCTGATGGGATCTTCACTGTAAAATCTGCCTACAATCTGCTCTTCAATGGTCTTGACTGGCGTAATCCCTGGTGGAAGGTGCTGTGGAAGATGAAAATCCCCCCTAAAGTGCAATATTTCTTTTGGCTGGCCTACCAAGAAAAAACTTTAACTAATGAGCAGAGGGTTAAACGACACCTTGCAAGTGATCCTGCCTGCCTGGCTTGTGGTGAAACGGTTGAGTCTGTGACCCACATCCTCAGAGACTGTTCAAAGGCCAAACAGGTTTGGGTTTACTTATTGGAGCCAAACCAGACTATCTCTTTCTTCTCCACTAACCTTCAAACTTGGATTTTAAATAATTTGTGCTCCAGGGCCTTGTGGCATAGGAACTTGCCTTGGAATATTGTTTTTGTTTTCTCCTGCTGCTTTATCTAGAAATGGAGAAATAGCCACATTTTTAATTCGAACGAAGATGCGCCTTCTTTGCCAAAGGAAACTATTATTACTGCTGCTACTGAGTGGGTCAAGGCTTCCTGTACCGCCAGTAAGGTTCCCAAATTGCATCTTATGCTGTCTTGGGTACCTCCTAGAGATGGTTGGTTTAAACTGAACATTGATGGTTCTAGGAGAACTGCCTCAGGAACTATTGGTGCTGGGGGAGTCATCAGAAACTCAAACGGTGATTGGATTGCTGGGTTTGCAATAAACTTGGGAACTGGCTAGGTGTTAGAAGCGGAACTGTGGGGGCTCTTCTTTGGCATTAAATTGGCTGTGACTCTCCCATCTCACCATTGAGATGGACTCCTCTGTAGCTATAAATCTAATGAAGAAATCTGACTTCCCTCAGGATCACCCCCTTGCTGGTTTACTTTCTGGTTGTCTTAGCCTCATGAGGCAGATTGGGAATATTGAACTCAACCACATCTATAGGGAACAAAACTCTGTCGCTGATGGACTAGCAAACTGGAGCTATAACTTGGACTTAGACTACTGCGACCTGGACGAGCCCCCTACTTGGATCACACCAGCTGTAATTGATGACTTGTTAGGTGTCTGCAAGATGCGCCTAGTTTCTATTTTGTAATTGTTTTGCTTTGGGGGCTTGTCCCCACCCAGCTTACCAAAAAAATAAATAAATAAATAAAACCAACATCTTACATGAAACCCCCGGCAATGGACATTCTTTTTCTTTCAGATCATTTAAAAGCTATTTAAACTTTGAACTTAATTCCCTCCTAAGCCAATCAGTTGAACAAAGAATTCTACAATTGCACACATCTTGTCCAGCAACAGTCAAAAAGCAATCCAATCCAATCCAACAAATAATGTGTGCCCTAACAAAATTTAAGCAGCAATTAGTATATGATTTTCGTGAAGATTATGTATATATGATATGTTTTCCAAGTATACTTGCCTTCCAAGCATCATGACAGTAGCTTGAGGATTAGCGCCAGAGGTGTGATAAAACGTTGAACCATCAATAACCCTCAGAGAATCAATACCAAGAACTCTATATCCTTTATCAACAACCCTCCCAACTTGACACCCTCCATGATAGTGCCATATGGTCTGTTGGAAATTTTGGAAATAACATATATTATTAAAGCCTTAAATTTTGGAAATTTTGCAAAATACATACAGTTTAGGAAATTCTTGCAATGAATCTAGATGGGAATTCTGAATTTCCACAATCATCATACCTTTGGTGCAAATAAACTATCAGATAGAAAATAGGGAGCAGAATCTTCAAAACAATAACAAAAAAGGAATCTTGGGTGGGAATCACAGACAATGATTGCAAAAAATCGGCCGCCAGTGCCTAGGCGCCGCCTAGGCCAATTTTTCCAACACTATTTAAAACTCCTACAAACTATTTCAGTTGTTCTCAAATGATCCGTAACTCTAATTAACAAGCACAAAATGACATACATCTGGGAATCACATACAACGATTGCGAAAAATCAGCCGCCTAGGCAGATTTTTCCAACACTGTTTAAAACTCCCACAAACTATTTCAGCTGTTCTCAAATGATCCATAACTCTAATTAACAAGTACAAAATGAGATTCATATGGGAATCACAGACAACGATTGCAAAAAATGGGCCCCCGAGCGCCTAGGCGGCTGCCTAGGCCCATTTTTCCAACACTGTTTAAAACTCCCACAAACTATTTCAGCTGTTCTCAAATGATCCATAACTCTAATATATATATATATATATGCATAGTTCGAGTATGAAATTACCAAAATGGCATCGATGTCATCCTTAGGTGAGAGCTTCTAGTCTCTCTGCGAGCTCTCTTTTCCTCGGCTTTCGCTGCTTTCTCTTTGCCTTTTCCTGGCTTCTTCGTCTTCTTCCCCATGTCTGGAAACACAGCTAAAAAGGCTCAGACTTGGCACGAGGAAGAAGAGAGAGAGTTATCTGGACGACGCTTGTTGCGTCGATTCAGCTGCACCAACATGGATTCAGCTGCATCCTCAACTTGTGATACTCGCAAGTGCACGAGCCGTTTGGTAGTATAGCATATGTAAGTGCGAGGTCGATCCCACGAGGATTGGTGATTGAATGATCCAATTCATTTCCCCTACACAAAACAGAAATGAAAAAGAAAATAAATAAAACAAGAAAAAAGGAAATAACTCAAGCAAATAAGTTCCCAAGTTTAATTAGATTAACGGATTGATTCTAGCTAAAGTATGATTAAGCCATGGTGTTTGGTCATAACCTTGTGTTCCTAATTCCCTAATTTGATCATTTGTTGTCTAACCTAAAATTAAGCATTAGGAACCCATTAAGCATAGAAGAACAATTTAAACAACCAAGCATGTATCTAATCCCTGTTGTCGAATGTCCATACATACTCTTCCTATTCATAGTTCAATTCGAATTAAAGCATGGTGTATACTCTTAATTCAAACCAAGATAGCTAACATGCAAGCCTAAATGATGATCAATCATTCAAACTAGCATATTAACTTATAAGCATAATGAATAAGAACAAAAACCATAATTGAAACTTGGAAACTAATTAAACTTGAAACTTAAGAAAGAATGTACATTAGAACATTAAAGAAACTAAGAGAATTTGAGGAAGATAAGGGAAGGGAGCTCTAGAGAAGTGTTTGAGAGCTCCCCCCTTGGGGTGTGTTTTGAAGCTTGAAGACTTCTCTATTTATAGGGCTAAGAGGGAGGAACAACATAATGAAATCCAACACCACCATTCCTCTTTTAATACAACCCATAACTCACACTTCATCTTGTCTATGTTAATGTGGTTGGAATCAATCTCATCCCATACTTCTTTTGCTGCACCTCAAACTTTCTTCACATGCCATAACTCCCACATCATCTTGTCTATGTTAGTGTGGTTGGAATCAATTCCATCCCATACTTCTTTTGCTGCACCTCAAGCTTTCTTCACATGGGATTTCAAAGGTGTTCAATTGTGGCTGCCTTTTGCTGCCAACCCATGTGGGTTTTCTTCACCATTGCTGTAAAAAACGATTCTTCTGCACCAGGCTTGGTGTAGGAAGGCCTGAGGTTTCAATATATATCCAATGAGGCTCAAATTTGGATATGTCATAATAGACACCCATTGGAACAACCTTTATGAAGAATGTATTCCCATATGAGCAGTACAAGTATACGTTTTGGGCCTTGCAAGTTGACTGCCGAAAATAAACTGGAATTGACTTCATTGCAGTCATCTTGTGGGCTTGTTTTGGGCTTGATCTTCCCTCCTACAAAATCTGGAAAAATCTGGATCTTCAAACCCTTTGAATTACCTTTCCAAACATATGCAGCCCAGCTCAAGGAAAAATCGAAAAGCATATGAATGCTAAATTTGCTTATTTGTTTAGTTACTTGGTAGAGTACATTAATTGAGATTGAATTTATCTGTTTTGCAGAATTTTGGTTTTCCAGACTTTGTTGCAATGCATTGATGCCTTTTGTTTGAATCATTATAATTGATTGAGTGATGCATTCATTACGTTCTTCTTTATGTGCAATATAATGAAAAAGAACAATTGTTGATTTGTGTTTCTCTGTGGTTGGGTTTGCTTCTACCTACTCATGTTAGGCTCTTTTGTCTCATGTCTACTGGAGAAATTTATTTCTTCAAGTGAGCCTTTACATGCGTTTGATGGTTCTGTTTAATTCCAACTGGTATTCAAACTAGTATCAACAACACAGCATACACAAACTTGAAATCACAAACTTTTTCTATGGTATTAGATATGTTGTAAAAGTACAAAATGTGCGCTAGCGCCAGTTAGGTCCTTTTTCTTAAAAAAATAGTATAGCCGCTATGTTATACTCAGCGCGAGGATGAAGAGAGAGTTATCTGGACGACGCTAATAATGACTATGTTGCTTTCAGCGCGACGTCGATTATTTGGGATAGTAATCCGCTGGCTATTTAGGTCACGCACTCACGTTGTCGTTTTTTTGAAAGCTGAAGCCAGACATAAGGCCCAAGGTTTAAAATATGTCGGACAGGATTTGTGCGGCCCAAAATAGATATGAGTCTTACCCATATTCGAGTTTGTGGCCTATACCTTGTTTGTTTGACTGATGGGCCATACCAATTTGTCCTTTCTCTTTTTTTGGGTCAATGGCCAATTTATCCCTCTATAGTTGTATAATTTTGTTGATTATATATGGCACATTTTCCCGATACAAAAAGATTTTGAAACGAAAAATTATTATGTGACGACTTTACTAATATGTGGTGTGTTGATATAATCTTATCAAAGGCTAAAGATAAAGGCGAAGCCCGATTGATGGCAAAGCTAGTCTGGAAGCACATCAAAGTTAGTTGATTAGTGGAGTGGCGGTGCGATAATGCCGGTTTGGTTTCATTTTTTTTGTTATGTTAATTTTATTGTAAGGATATAATTGGACTTTAAGCGTGTTAAAACGAAACTAAACTTACAGTAATAGCTTCTAGTTTTCCCATCATATAATGGGAGAAGAGATTTTGACCTTGAGCTACCTCCAACCCACCAAGGGCAATTCTACCCACAGGGCAAGGTGCGCTAATGCCCAACCCAATATTTTCAAAGAAGATAAATAGCTAAGATATGTTTATCTCAGCCCAAAAAAAATGTTGAAATCCTATCTCTATCTGCCCAGCCAAAATAAATAAATAAACCATATCTCTATCTTCATTTTACTATATAGTACGCTTCACTTGTCCTACTGAAACTTTTTCCATCATGTTTTTCTTGTAGACTGAAACTTTATATATATATAAAGAGTATAGCCGCCTCGGGATATTTTTTATTTTTTTAAAGAGTATAGCTGTGTTGCTTTACTAGGGTCATTTTTTTATAAATAGTATAGCCGAGCGTACCTCGAGGAATTTCTTCCGGCAAGTGAGTTCATTCCTTAAGGGTGCTTGCTTGATGACGATGCTTAACTTCTCAGATTGCAAAATTACAGCTCTCATGGTCTTACACACAAAAAAATAAAAATAAAAATGAAATAAATCATATTAAAATATTATAAAGTGGCCGAACTTATTAGTTGTAATTTGCCAAAATATTGCCGAATATAACACGTACGTATTTTATTCATATTTTTCTCGTTTCGTATTTTACTAACTAAAAGAATGTGAGAGGCTAAGATTATTTCTATTCTTGACACGTGGCGAAATGGGCCCTAGCCGCAAGCGGGTCCCTCTTTTTCGTATAAATAGTATAGCCGCGCGGCTATATTCGGTTTTTGTTTTTAATAAAAAGAGTAGCCGAGTGGCTATACGACGGATTTTTTATTAAAAAAAATAGTATAGCCTTGCGGCGATACGCGGGATATTTTTTTTTAAAAGCGTATAGCCGCTCGGCTTTACTGGGATCGTGTTTTTTTAAAATATTTTTTTAAATAGTATAGCCGAGCGGCTATACGGACTACACCCCAAATGTCTTTTCATGGTTCTCATTAAAGTGATTCTGTAAAGCGCATGCCTTTCCATCTAGCATGGGACTGATCATAATTGTAGCTAAAATTACTGCTAAACTTATTGCTAGTTGGGGTCAGAAAAAGAAGAAAATAAAAGAGATACCAGTAGGTCTAGGACAAGAAGAATAACGTGCATATGAAATTTAATCTTTAATTTGACAAGAAAAATAATAGAAAAAGAATTTTCTTCTGCTTTTATTTATTTTTTAAATTTTTTTATAGAAATTTCTTCTGCTAATTAAAAAGCTAAATAGAGCAGCATAAATGACCACGACAAACAATCCACATCAAGGTAATAAATGACTCATAAATAGAAGGATACGTATGGCTGTTTTAGCCTAAACTGTTGTGAAGAGAATTGTACTATGATAAGTTAATACAACAGTTGAAACTCTGCTCTCTCTCTCTCTCTCTCTCTCTCTCTCTCTCTCTCTCTATATATATATATATATATATATATATATATATACTTTGGTTTTTCCAAACCATATCAATATCATTGTTTTGTTGTTCTTGTTTACATCATTAATTATTTTCCATATTTGTGGGTTTTGTATGCCATTATATATATTCACCCTTGGATACCAAACATTGATCAAACTAACGTTCAACAATATATTTTACCCTCGGAAAGCTTCTTCAGCTGCCTTGACGGGTCTCGTATAGTATACATTCAAGATCATCTGGGATGGAAAGTCAGTTTCGGAGTTTGGGTGGCTCTCGTGTTCCTCTCTCCCATCTTCTTTTTCCTTGCACTTTCCATGTACATCAAGCACAACCCTAACAAGAGCTTGTTCACTGGGTTGGCACAAGTCGGCGTGGTTGCCTATAAAAATAGAAACCTTCCTCTCCCACCTTTGAGCTCAGAAAGTTTATACCACACAAAAAGGACTCGGACCTTGTTGCACCAACTAACAAATTAAGGTAGAGTAGTAATCGTACACATGCCACAAAACTAAAATTGCTTCTGAGGTCATAAAACGTGGCGAGATGCCTATAATTCTTTTAATGTGATGATGATTTACAGAGTATACACAACATTTCAAAAATCAGCTGTCTGTCTATGACCAATCTAGCTTATAACTATAAGCACAAATGTCAAACAAAGAAGAAAGTCATAAGCATGATGATACTATTCAGAAGGCGTTTTTCATTTCCCTTAGGAAACAATCAACAGGCCAGTGATGAAGCAATTGGAGGCTTGGACTCAGAAAACAAGACCAAACAAGATACAGCAGGTTCTATGCATTTACGTGATCTGGGTGTGTCAGGTCCATTTCAATTTGGTCAATTGTCCATTGCATATTTTCCAATTTCTGTAAGGGGATGTTGATATTAGAGATTAGCATGAGAACTGAGAAATGTACTACAGTAAGCACTGTTATTACCTTTATAATATCATGGTACTGCCTTGCAATTGAATCAAAGTGAGGATCAACACCCTGATATTCTCTAAGACGTGTAACCTGTTAAGAAAGATGACTTTTGTAAATAAAGAAAACCAGCGGGAGAGATGCAGAAGGGTGACATGGTTAAGTAGTATGCATGTTGTCAAAGTAAAGTTGGCTCAGCATATCTTAACTATTTATTAGCAGCTGAAGCATTTTCTATAATTATCATCAGCTTTGTAAATGGGCTCATTGATTATAGTGCAGACCATTAAGTATTTACGACCCATCTTCACAATATCTACAATGACAAATAACCAGTAACAAGTGACATAGCAATAAAAGCAGATTGAGAAACTTCCTTATCTCATCAAAATTCCTTAAGAAAACCCAAAAAATCTACTAGCGAATAAGTTTGAAGCAGTTTACAACTTGACAGATAGCAGATTAGGATTTAAAACAATAATGACTTACAGGAAACCAAGGCAAATAGCTAGAAGGCTATGATGTGGCTAAAATGTCTGTTTTGGGGCACACGCAAATGAAGGCAACCAATGATCGGAAACCACTTAGAAAAGGGAAGAAAAATAAGAAGTAGAATATCATACCGCTTTATTATATGCGATTGAAGCTTCATCTGTAGCTTCAAGGAGATACTTCCTAGAAATGAGTTATAAAATTGTTAAAACCCTGGAATTAGTAAGCTGCACATACTTTCAAAGTCATCAAAGCTACCTTATTTTATGTAGGGCCGGTATTGACTCCTTAGTATAAGTTTCAAGAAGGAGAACATGCTCCAGAACCCTGAAATACAATGGGGCATATTATACTCATTACATACAATCCATTAATTGATTTGATCACAAAATATAAAAAATATAGTCAGTGCTGAGTGGTGAACTTTGTCTTCTTGCATAAGATGCATCACAAACAAAAAATTCATAAACATATGGAAAGTGAGACATTAAGAAACATTGAAGCCAGAAATACAAAATTATAAATTTATAATACAGAAAACCATGTAACGGACCTCAATTTTGCACTCATTGTCTCACACCTCTTGCAAAGCCATGTTTTTTGCAGTCCGTCCTATAAATCATTCATTATTAATAAAAGGTTCAAGAATCCTCAACAACATTGAAAACAGAATAATATAGAACCTTTGAGGCTCCCTCATATTAACCCTCAACAACATTGAAAAAATATTAACCTTCCCAGATATTAGAAGCTTACATATTTATGTTGATGTTGCAACTTCAAATCTCTGACCAGTTTGATGAGCACTCCCAGTATCTGCTCTAGGACCTAGTTTTGCAACAACAAAAAAACCAAGGCATAAAAAAATATCTCACAAACAAAATGCGCCTGGCATGAAATTGCGGGAACATAAAACTTTGTTTTATTTTTGTTTTCGTTTTCATACATTATAATATTCAGCAAATTTTCTATCCGCAGAATATAGATCTTCCCGCAGAGCTGCTTCCTCCCTTTCCATCTCCTCAATTATCAACTTCACCCTGATAAAGTCTTGAGAAAGTGTCACAAAAATAGATCAGACTGTCAGAAAAATATTTAGAACAGTGCCTCCAGAAATTTATTGATTGCCAAAAGCATTGGAATTAAGATTGCCAACAATCCATAAAAAGCATCTTACTCAATGTAAAAGGGAATTCTCATACAACGAAAATTGCATCAAAAGAGTAACTCAAACCTTTCTGGAAGGCAAGAACTTGAATTCTGATGCCCAGATGACGAGTCTGCAAAGCATTGGAATTAGTTACACCTTTAATAATTATCATTATGCATGGGTAAACATGTGTCATGTACATATTGCATCATCAACTTTAAAAGTGCATGTCTAGTGTATATGGATGGAGAGAGATAGAGAGAGAGATACCATTGTCATCCATTATAAAGGCATCAGCTAATTTATCACATTTAGCTACCAAACGGACTTCAATCTCCCGAGAAAGACACAACTGATATTCTGTCATGTCCTGCAGTTGAAGCATCAGAAATGTAAGGAGCAGCTTCACCAAAGTTAGATCTTCATGTTAAGGGATCATATACAGTAAAGTAACAGATTCTATAAAGAAAATATACGTTTGAATGTGGAAAAAAACATTAATAAATAATTGGAAAATAAAAGACAAAGTGAACTGTTGCCAGAACCATAATGGACATTGTACCATTGACAATGGTGTTTGCTGGAGCTGTGTTTGCCATAAATATGCAGGTGTAATTCCAAGAAAGCGATTCGGAACATCACCAACTCCAGATTCCACAGCATCAGTAGCACTAAGAGAAAGATTGTTGTTTGCTGCACTACTGGTGCTAGTAGCAGTATTAAAATTGGTTGAGTTGGAACTTGAGCTGATTGTAACGCTGGTACTGGTACTGTCAAGGGAACTGCGTGACATCGTACTGCATTTTTCAATTTCTTCCTCATGAATTTCACCATCTTTGGAGATAAGAGGAAGCCTCAATCTTTGAGCTGCTTCCGCAACAATCATGCGATGCTCCAATGTCTCGTACAACTGATATAAACATGAAAATCACATTCTCATCCGTTTTAGACTTGATGTGAAGAATAGAATACTCATGGTACATTTGAGCATCCCATGAAGATTGAATTAGCCTGTTGTCTTTTGAAGATGAATTAACATACAAGTCTATCATAGTGCATCTCTGTTAAGATCATGGTTAAATAAAAAATGAACATTCTTTGAGGGAATACTAATTCTGAACTGGTTCCATGTCATATTAACTCAAAGGAAGAAATTTTTTTTCCTCTTGTTTTGTACTTCAATTGTAACAAGGAGAAGGGAATCATTCAACTCCCATACCAGGAAACCACAGGCACCCTGTGCTTTCCCACCAACTTACAAGCTATTTACCTTAAAGATATGGATGTCTCTCCTATTTCATGCCAAATCATGACTCGACAACCCTTGATGTAAAATGCATTTCCAAATCAATAACTTCCAAAAAAAAAAACAAAACAAAACAAAAATCAGAGATTGTGGCACATTGAAACCTGAGGAGGATTCTTCAAGTCCGATTGCAGATATAAACCCTGAACATCTCGAATTCCTCCAAGATTAGCCACCGAAACTGCTTGTTGATACTCTTCCACCATTGCAATTGCCTCGCCATAAATTGCCTACACCAGAATCCAAACCCACCATTCACACACACACACATTACAAAATCCTTGCCAAATTAGAACAACTAGTTCAATCAACACAAACTCAAAAAAATAAGCAGAACTACCATGGCTTCCAAGTAACGCAATCTTTCTCTGGACATTTCCTCCCTTGCCTGCACCAGAATTAAATAACTTTAAGAAATCAAAGGCATTGTAAAGAAAATGCTCAGATTGTTTAATTCATAGATTGCATTTTATAGTTTGTAGAGCACCTTTTTTAAGCAACCAAACAAGGCAGGGAAATGTAGAGAGAGAGAGAGAGAGAGAGTACGAGTTGGAGGTTGAAGTAGGCTGATTTGAGTCAAACAATATGGGTAGAATATTTTCAGATATATTTCATTCTCCGAAAGGAGGTATTTATAATACAGGTTACAAACCCTAGTAGGATTTAATTAGGAAATAAGTGGAATCCTAATTACATAATATCTATACAAAAGGAAAAATAAATAAAACCCAAATAGAATAGGATATATTCTACTCGCCAACACTCCCCCTCAAGTTGGAGCAAAGACGTCATGCATGCCCAACTTGTCAAGCGAGTTGAGAAAGATACTTGTAGAAACAGCTTTCGTAAGAACATCAGCTAACTGATACTCTGAACGGATGAAGGGGAA